CGCTCCTGGCTGCAGCCCTGACCCCGGCCCCAGCCCGGGACTGCATCTTCCTCCTCCTCCAGACCCCCAGGGGTCCCCGAGGGAGGGGACGCGGGGGTCCCCTCGCTGCCCCGGGCTGGACACGCGGCTCCGAGCCCCGGCGGGTTCCCCCCGGCTCAACCTCCGGAGGAGCTGAGGAAGGACAGCAGCCCCCAGGGCAAGAGCGGTTTAATAAAGAGAATTGATCCACAACCGCAATAAAAAAAAACCCCAAAAAAACCACGATTTGGTCACAGTTTACAGGGTATAAAATGGATCGAGTCTGAATGGTTTTTCCTTATTTTTCCCTTATTTTTCCCTTATTTTCCCTTTATTTTTTCCTTATTTTTTCCTTATTTTTTCTTTATTTCTCCCTTATTTTTTCCTTATTTTTTCCTTTTTTTTTCTTATTTTTTCTTTATTTTTTCCTCATTTTTTCTCTTATTTTTTCCTTATTTTTTTCTTATTTTTCCTTATTTTTTTCTTTATTTTTTCCTCTTTTTTCTCCTTATTTTTCCTTATTTTTCCCTTATTTTTCCCTTATTTTTTCCTTATTTTTCCCTTTATTTTTCCCTTATTTTTTCCTTTATTTTTTCCTCATTTTTCCCTTATTTTTCCCTTATTTTTCCCTTATTTTTCCCTTATTTTTTCCTTATTTTTTCCTTTATTTTTTCCTTATTTTTTCCCTTATTTTTTCCTTATTTTTCCCTTATTTTTCCCTTATTTTTCCCTTATTTTCCTTTTTAAAATTCTTTTCCTCCCGTCCTTCTTCCCCAAAAACGACGCAGGATTCCTGAAAATACAGATATGGGACACCCAACACGAAAAAAAAATGGGATTTTGGGGTTCTCTTGGGCTTCTTCTCGCAGAGAAAGGACGAGAAATCAGCAAATCCGGGGAGGGTGGGACGCGGTTTGGAGCAGGCCCGGCCGATATTTCACAATTTGTTTTTATTTCTGCTTTTAAATCGCACCCCAAAACTCTGCCCCCCTCGAGGCTGGAGGGGGGCGAGGGGCTGGGGACCCCTCGCTTTGGGGTCGGCGCTGGGAGGGAGCTGAGGAATCCCCCGGGATGGGCTGGGATCAGCAAATCCCGAATTTCCGGAGCCCGGAGGGTTAAAAAAAAGAGAATTTTGGGGGGAAGGAGCCGCTGCTGCAGCCGGACCCGCGGGGCCGGGGGTGCTTTTCCCCCCAGGATCTCCCATGGAAGGAGGATCCAGCCCGGGGGATGCTGAGAGGTGGGAAAATGTTTCCCCAGCCCGGAAAAAAAGCAGGGAAAAGGTGGGAAAAGCCACGAATTTAAAGCTGCTTTTCGTTATTTCGCACCCCGCGATGGCCCCGGCTCGGGCAGATCCCGGCCCGGGGATGGAACCAGGAACCAGCCCAGACCCCTAAAAAATTCCAAATCAGCCCCAAAAACCCCCAGGGATTCGTGTTCCAGCCCGGCTTCGGTCCCGCGAGGCTCCGGGGACCCCCAGGCAGCGCCCGCTCCCCAAATTTGCAGATTTTATCGGGATTTTATCGGGAATTTATCGGGAATTTATCGGGATTTTATAGAGAATTTATCGGGATTTTATCGGGAATTTATCGGGAATTTATCGGGATTTTATCGGGATTTTATCGGGAATTTATCGGGAATTTATCGGGATTTTATCAGGATTTTATCGGGATTTTATCGGGATTTTATCGGGATTTTATCCCGGATGTTTTTCGGGGTTTTATCCCGATTTTATCGGGATTTTATCCAGGATGTTTTTCGGGGTTTTATCGGGATTTTATCGGGATTTTATCGGGATTTTATCGGGATTTTATCGGGATTTTATCGGGATTTTATCCCTATTTTATCCCGGATTTTATCCCGATTTTATCCCGATTTTATCCCGATTTTATCCCGGATTTTATCCCGATTTTATCGGGATTTTATCCCGATTTTATCCCGATTTTATCCCGGATTTTATCCCGATTTTATCCCGATTTTATCCCGATTTTATCCCGATTTTATCCCGGATTTTATCGGGATTTTATCCCGATTTCATCCCGGATTTTATCCCGATTTTATCCCGATTTTATCCCGATTTTATCGGGATTTTATCCCGATTTTATCCCGGATTTAT